GCTTACTGACTGCTATATAACATTCAGGTTCTCTGAAATCAGGGTTCCTCTTTGTAATAAAATCCATTGCATAAGCAGGCGTTCATCTGTGTTACTCCCATGGGTCTTGGGGGCAAACGGAACTGATGCAAAAAGAGAAAACCCATATAATCAATATGGAGACTATAAAAGGAGACATCATTATAGATGGTACATTCATTAAAATGATTTTTTAATGACATAATGAAAACTTCTTGCAATATGTTTGAAACTTTAGACGAAAACAGCGAGAAAATATAATTTACCAAAACGTACTCGAGAAGTAGAAAACCCAAAGTGTCCTCTAACCATTAAAGAGAAGGAATCAGTAATCAATTTTTTCCGTAAGATCAGAAGTTTCAGAGAACTCGATCAAACATTCAAGAAAAAATTCTAGTCTTAAACTCTTCCAGAGCTTAGAAAAAGAGAGTACATCTTTTCCAAAAATCCCTTTCACAGATTTTCCTGGAGGAGCGGCCATAGCATAGGAATAGACACCAGTCTTGGAGAGTTACAATCAGTTAAGGTGAGAGTGGCAAATGTAGCTAAGGGTACTCTGGTCTCTCTTCACATCACTTGTCCTTTTTTTTTTCTCAGCTGCCGTTGGGTCTTCGTTGTGGTGCGCGGGCTTCTCGTTGCAGTGGCTTCTCTTGTTGTGGAGCGCGGGCTCAGTAGTTGAGGCACGTGGGCTCAGTAGTTGCGTCTCGCGCGCTCTAGCACGCAGGCTCAGTAGTTGTGGCGCACGGGCTTAGTTGCTCCGCGGCGCGTGGGATCTTCCCAGGCCAGGGCTCGAAACGGTGTCCCCTGCACTGGCAGGCGGATTCTTAACCACTGTGCCACCAGGGAAGTCCCAGATCGCTTGTCTTTTACCTTTTACTAAAGATTTTGTGGAGAGGAATGTGTGGGAGGTTGCCTTCTCATCTAAGATGGAAAGTTTCCAAGGTTTCATCTATTAGGTATGACCTTTGCTATAGTTTTTGGTAGATAGCTCTTACCACACTGACATTCAATTTTCTCAAACTTTCTTTCTATTAAGATGATATATGTGCATTGGTAGATGGCACATTATTCCTTTTACATACTGCTAGACTCAATTTGCTAATATTTTGTGAAGAATTTTTGCATCTATCTTCATGAGTAAGATTGCTATATAAATTCTCTAGAGCCTCACTTACAGCTGGGGGCAGGGAATCAGAGAACGCAGTTCCCAACCTACAACGTAAACTTGGAACTGCTTTCTAAAACAACAAGTTGGCTGTATCTTCCATTTCTTAACTACTAACCTCTTTATAGTTCTACACATCAGCCATTTGTCTTTGAAAACCCACATACTTACCCTTATTTAAGTAAAACCTCAAAAGATTCCACTACCAATTCTCAAGTGTTTCTCTCCACGAAAGTCTTTGCCAAGACACAAAAGATTTCATTAAACTGGGGAGGAATGTGTATGTGTGTACCATACATGCCCATCCTCCCATATACTCGTTGGTCCCCCAACGTTTGTGGTGCCTTTGTACCTACCAACAAAAACCTGTCTTCCATTGTACAGAATGACTCCTAAACATGTTCTTCCTGGGTAAAAGCTCCTGACAAGAAAATAAAAGGTGGGACTTGCCTGGTGGCGTAGTGGTTAAGAATCCACCTGCCAACGTAGGGGACACGGGCTCGAGCCCTGGTCCGGGAAGGTCCCAGTTGCACGAGCAACTAAGCCCATGCGCCACAACTACTGAGCCCGAGGGCCACAACTACTGAAGCCCCCGCGCCTAGAGCCGGTGCGCCACAACAAGAGAAGCCACCTCAAGGAGAAGCCCGCGCACTGCAACAAAGAGTAGCCCCTCTGCTTGCCACAACTCGAGAAGGCCCGTGCACAGTAACAAAGACCCAACGCAGCCATAAATAAATAAATAGATTTCTTTTTAATTTTTTTAAAAAGAAAATAAAACATCAATTTTTGTTTTTCAAACAGATAATACTGTTAATATTTCTCACGTAGTCTACACTGCATTCTGGTGTGCAGATGAGCTAGTCAGGGAGACAACTGTGCCCTCGAAGTAGGTGGAGAGGCCAGCGGCCCTTGACTCTGCAGCGGGTGGGGGGGGGGAGACAGCTCACTTCTAAGCCCCGCCTTCCATGCAGCAAGCACTTGTGTTTACCCGCTGTCCTATCACACCACATTACCTGCCCGCTTCCAGCTCTGCCTGTCTGGGGTTCTTTCCTCTTTACAAAAATATTCAGTCCTCTGCCATCTTCCAGGCTCTCCCACAGCCCACCGACCCCTTTTATAGCACTTGTCACCAAACTGTTCGCCGGGCACAAGACGCGTCCTATGCAGGTTGGCCGAAAGGCTGAGTCAATGCTGGATGGAATGAATGACTGCGAAGCAGCCACAGAAAATGCCCTCTTTAAATTCTAGTCCCCTCCTCCTTCCTAACCGAATCTTTCCCTCCTTTTGCTTCCACCACTTCCTAGCTGTGGTACCTTATGGCAAGCGCTTTACCTCTCTGTGCCTCATTCCCTCAAATGTCCAATAGGGATAAGTCATCATGCTGTTGCAAAATGAAGCTCCTTGGTCACAGGGATCGTCACTGGGACACTGAACAGAGAGTCCTCAGCACAGAGCCTAGGCAAACAAGGCCTCAATAAGGGTCCATCAGAAAGGAAAGTTTCTCTAAACTGCTGTCGACCTTGCCTCCTTTCTCATTTTCTGCTACACATCCCCACCCACTTGCTCTGTCTTCCCCTCACCCCTTGTCTTTCCCCATCCTGTCTCCCTTTGAAGACCCGCCGTCCTTCCCTCCTCCGGGAAACCTTCTAGATTCCTCAAAGCCCTTTGGCGGCCCTACCTCTGTGGGACCTCCAGCTCTTTTCAGCCTCTAAGCCTCCAACGCTTCTTCCTCCGGCTCTGGTTGGTTCTGTGAGTCCCAGGGGGCCTCGGCCTCCTCCTCCCTCTCCCCTTTAACCACGAGCTCCAGAAGGGCAGGACTGAGGGGTCGCCGGCCCAGCTCCCCCCACGCCTGGCACAGTGCTGGCCAGTAAGAGGTGCTAAGAAAGGTCGATAAAGAGTTGGAGGGGAGGGGGTACTGCTTCCTTGCGAGGGCGAGGGCGGGTAGTGGAGCGGTGGGCCTCTCCAGCGCCCCTGCCTTCCCCAGCCATCGAGCTGATCAAGGACCTGGTCAACTACGACGTGTGCCCGGCGCTGCTCAAGGGCCTCGTGGCGCTGCTGAAACCGTCCTTCAAGGAGACCAGCAAACAGCAGTCCCAGATCGTCAGCGGTAGGGATCCGCTGGGATCGGGGTGGTGGACCCCGACGGGGCAGGGTGGAAGACGAGGACGAGGGGTCCTCCAGCCTCACGGCCACTCCTCCCTTTTCCAGACTCTTCGGTTCTGCAGCTCACCGCCCACCTGCCGTGGCTCTTGCAGCAGGCCGCGGCCGCCAAGGCCATCGGGTAAGCGGGCAGCAGGTAGTGGGCGGATGCGGCAAGCCAGGCCCCGGCGCTGCCCGCGGGCCCCCAAGAGCGCTCCGGCCGCCGGAGGGTCCCACGGGGCCGCCGCAGCACGAATCCCACCCCCACCCCACGCCACCCACGCCCAGGATCCTGGCGCGAGGCAACGCGAGCGTGGCCGAGGAGATGCTACACCTGCGCGTGGTGCACAGCCTCATGGCCGCCATGGGCAACATGGACCACAGCAACAGCCAGCGGCAGGCCAGCCTCACGCTAGAGGTGCGCTGGGCGGCCGGGCGGCGGGCGGCGCGGCGGCGCGGCGGACACAGCGCGTGGGCACGTCAGCCACGCCCCCTCGCCCGCCCACGCAGTACTTTGTGCAGTTATTCCCAGTGGTGGAGGAGCACGTGCGCAGGTCCATGGGGGAGGAACTCTACAAGCTCTTCCGTGTAAGTGCTCCCGCCCCGCCGCGCCCCGCGGGACACGACAGTGCCCCTGTGCACAGCCCAGCGCACGGCCCCTCCCCCTGTACGCCCCACACACAGATCGGCCTCGGGGCCGGCGGCGGGAGGGACTGCCCTGGCTTGGGCTTCTCCACCTGGCATCCTTCCGTCCCCTTTCCTGCCCTTCCAGTCAGGCTAAGAGCCTGACCGCAGCCTGCAGCCTCCATCTGCCCACGCCCAACTCCAAGTCCAGGCTGCCCTGGCATCCAGCCCAGTTCCCCTTGCTCGTGTCCTCAGCGCAACGCCGAGGACTTGTACAGGAAAATAGATAGCATTCAGGCGGACATCTTGGCGGCCAACGAAGTCAATGTCACCAAAGGTGAGTGGGGTGTGAGGGGGCCTGGAGCAGAGGTGCGGCGGCACCCACACTCAGGCTCCTCTCCCTGTCCCCAGAGCTGTATCTCAGTGGCCTCTCCGACAGCACCATGAGCTTTTACTTTGGCCATTGTAATCAGGGTCAGGTGGCCTACATCACACACTTCCAGAGGGAGGCTGTGGGAGAAAAGGAGCAACAGAGCCTCCAAGGCAAGCCAGGAAGCCCAGGCTGTGTGGTAGGGAAGCCTGGCAGGAGGAAGGAGCCAGGGCCAAGCTCCGGTTGACTCTCCTTGGCCCTTGGTGGGAGGCTGGGGATCTGCCCGCCAGAAGGGGAAAAGGAGAGCTGGCTGGGAAGGGTTCAATAAACAAACGGTCTTGCTATCTATCTGGTGTCCGTGTGTGGAGGGCAGAGGGAGATCTAGTGAGAGTTATGATGACGGGTCGGGGTGCCTCTGCTCACCAAGGAAAAACGCTGGTCTGAGGGGAAGGACCACCAACGTCGTAGAAGATTCAAGGGCACAGCCTGAGGAGCGCGGGCCTTACCTCAGCTCCCTGCTGGCCCCTGCGCTCTCCCCTCCAGGACACCACACCCACCTGGTATTTCTCCTGCCTCTCCGGTTGCTTCCTTTCATTCTCTTTTGCTGATTCCTCCTCTTCAACCCAGCTTCCTTCAAGGTGGAGTGAGGCAGGACTCTGACCTGGAGCCTCTTCCCTACCTTTACATCCTGGTGATTCCATTGCTTTAAATACCACTTCTGTGCAACGACTCCCACGTTTCTATTTCCAGCTAAACATTTCTACCTCATGGTGTTGTCGACGAAAAATTTAATCAGTCGATCTAAGAAAGCAATGGAAAATTTTATTCGAGCCAAATTGCGGCGTATATCAGCCGGGAACAGCCTCTCGGAAAGCTCCAAGAACTGTTCTGCCTGTGAGAGGTCAAAGCACAGTTATCCAGGGCTTTGTACGTTAAATGACGTACACAGTGACGTTGACACAATCCACATCGACACCTACAAAGCAAGTAATGGGTCATGGGTCATCAGGGCCCCTTACAAGATCAAGGAGGAAGGTTATCTCCTAAGGAGTTATCTTGTTGATACTAGGAGAAGGTTGCTCTTTACAGTTGACCAGGTATTTCTGCCGACGGGGAGGTGGTTCGATGCATGGTGCAGATACGCAATGCACAGTAGAGGGGAGAGAGGAGGCCAAAGGGCAGAGAAAATTATTTATGTTCAAATTTTCCTTGACTCGCTTTAGAATATGGATTTGTATTTCATCAGTGTCCAAAGCTGAACTCCCAGTCCTGTGCCATCTTCCCCAACTCAACTGATGGCAACTCATCCCTCCTGCCACTCAGAACAAAATCGTGGTGTTCTCCTTGATGTCTCTCTTTAACCTCTGGATCCATCCTGTCTGTTGACTCTACCTTCCAAATATATCCAGGATCCAACTATGTCTCACTACCTCCATTGCTGATACTCGGGTCCAAGCCACCATCATCTCTCCTCTAGATGACTCTGCTCTCTGCCCCATTCTCTTTGTCAGCACAGCAGCCACAGTGGTCCTTGTAAACTTCAGATTCTGTCACTCTGCTCAGAACCTTGCAGGGCTCTCCATTTCACTGAGTAAAGCCCAAGCCCGTGCTGTTACGGCCTCCAGGGTGATCTAGGCTCCCATGACTTCTGAACTCTCTCCTACTTCTCTCTCTCTTCTTCACTGGGCACCAGACACATTGGCTGTGTGGTTCTTGAAGTTGACAAAACAAGCTCCCGCTTTAGGGCTTTTGTGCAGACTTTTCTGCTGAACACTTGAGAGAGGTCCTCTTCCTAGAACCCTCACCCCAGGTGTCTGCATGGCTAACTCCATGACCTCCTTTCAACTCTTTACACAAAAGGTATCTTCTCAGGACTTACCTGGTGGTGCAGTGGATAAGACTCCGTGCTCCCAATACAGGGGGCCAGGGTTCGATCCCTGGTCAGGGAACTAGATCCCACGTGCATGCCACAACTAAGGAACTGGTGAGCCACAACTAAGGAGCCCGCCTGCCACAACTAAGACCCGGTGCAACCAAATAAATAATTTTTTAAAAAAACAAAGTAATCTTCTCAGGGAGGGTTACCATTTATTAAGTCGCGTCCCACACTACCAACCCCTATACTCTGACCCCCAACCCCTACCACTGCTGGTTTATCCATAGCACTTACTTATGTGTTATTTATTTATTGTCTCTCTCCCCACCTGAATGTAAGCTCCAGCAGGGCGGGGATATTTGTTTTCATTACTGATATGTCTCAAATGCTGAGAACAATGCCTGGCACATATGAATGAACGACCGAGTTACTGTGAGGGCATTGTCCCTCAAAATCAGAGGACGTGAAGTCAGAGGACATGAAGTCAGATGGCAGTAATTCTCCAGGGTGCCACAAGAGGGCATCACCGGCCCTGATCTTGTTGGTCAGAGGCAGCCTAACTTACCCCAAACTAGGATTTTGAGCCTCAGCTTTCCTCTATTTGGGCGGAGGGAGGAGAGAAAAGTTAAGGAAATATCGGTGTGTTTTCCATAAAGCTAAATGAATTTCCTGTTTTAAAGACGTGTCCTGTCCTTTGCTGTGAAGTCACTCTTACTGTTTTTAGTCTTGGAATGGCCTTTCTGTAGAATCATGATTTTAAAAATTAGTACCCCAGAAATTTTTTGGAAATTTTAATAATTGGAAAATCCAAAACTCTGGAAACCACTGGTCTAAGACGATAACTCTTTAATAACAATGGAACTTTAAAAAATGAAATCTTCAGGGACTTCCCTGGTGGTCCAGGGGCTAAGACTCCACGCTTCCAATGCAGAGGGCCCAGGTTCGATCCCTGGTCAGGGACCTAGATCCCACATGCTGCAACTAAGGGTTCTCACGCCGTAGCTAAAGATCGTGCGTGCCGCAGTTCAGACCAGCCAAATAAATAAATATTTTTCAAAATAAATAAATAAAAAGGAAAACTTAAGTATAATACAAATATCCAAAACAAATATATGTTACATAAAATTTATTACTATACATTTATTCTCCCCCAACTTGTTATTTCCAAAAGTTCAAAACTACAACAAGTTGAAAGAATGAGTACCTATGACACATTTTCTTTCTCTCTCTGTGTTTACTGGGCTTTTTGAAAGTTTCATATATCATGACATTTCACTACTAAATATTTCACATTACGTGTCTACTAAGAATAAGGCCGTTCTCCTACATAATTACTATATCAGTATTGTGGTAGTGTGAGTCGTAGCCTCCAAATACATACACATCCTAATCCCAGGAACCTGTAGATATGTTACTTCACGTGGTAAAACGGATTGTGCAGGCGTGATTAAGGATCTTGAGATGGGGAGATTCTCCTGGATTATCTAGGTGGGCCCCAGGTAATTACGAGGCTCTTTATACGGCAGGAGGATCCAGAGTTAGGAGATGACACGACAGAAGCAAGAGATTTGGACTGCAAGGAAGGGGTCACAGGCCAAGGAATGAAGCCAGCTTTCTTAAAGGCAAGGGAACAGATTCTCCCTTGAAGCCTCTAGAAAGAATGCAGCCCTGTCAACACCTTAATTCTAGACTCCTGCCGTCCAGAAGTTGTTTTAAGTCACTAAGCGTGTGATAATTTGTTACAGCAACAAGAAAACAAATACAATTATTAATTGAATAGTGTCGCGTGAAATAGAGTACATACTAAAATTTCCACAAAGGCACCAAAAGTGTACCTTCTGCTTTCTTCCTGCCTTCCTTTCCTTGGTGTGTTATTGGGTTTTGTTCAGGATCCAGTTAAGGTCTGTATATTGCATTTGATTGTCATGCAGTATACGCTTTTTCTTGTCTGTTTAACTTATGTATTGTATTCATTTGGGGCTGTGTTGGGTCTTCGTTGCGGTTCGCAGGCTTCTCACTGCGGTGGCTTCTCTTGTTGCCGAGCACGGGCTCCAGGTGCCCGGGCTTCAGTGCTTGTGGCACTCGGGCTCAGTAGTTGTGCTGCCCGGGCTTAGTTGCTCCGCGGCATGGGGGATCTTCCGGGACCAATGCTCGAACTCGTGTCCCCTGCAGTGAGAGGCGGATTCTTAACCCCTGTACCACCAGGGAAGCCCTAAGCTTACTTCTAAAATTAAAATTTAGAGCAATTACTTAAGGTCTTCATCCACATTAGAAACTGGAAAACTACAGATGATCTTGAGCATTGCCTTTCCTTTTGTTTTTTATTTCTTTTTTCTTTGTTGTTGTTTTTTTTTTTTTCCTCGCCGCGCCGAGTGGCCTGCTGGGTTTCAGTTCCCCAACCAGGATCGAACCCGCGCCCCCTGCCGTGGAAGCGTGGAGCCCTAACCACTGGTCCAGGGATTGCCAGGGAATTCCTCGAATTTCTTATTTTTAACAGTTCTAGTTTTAAGGCTAAACTACCTCATCAGAAAGTGTATATTTGAATATTTATCATACAAAAATCGACCAACTATACTTCAATTTTTTTGAAGCTTTTACAAAAGGCAAGTTACACAAGTGCAGCAGTTAGAACCACAATCCCAGAGAGGTGGGCCTCCCCGGAGGTGCTCACGTACTGCCTTGAACAATCCTTTGCAAACACATGTGCCCAAGCCTGAACTTGAATTCACGACCGAACCAAAGCCTGGTTAAGCGGATAATCTACAGCGAGCAACCGTCTGCTGGACGACTGACTGCTCTGCGCCAGGCCGCGTGCCGGGCACGAGAAGCAGTTCAACTGTATTATGCCTGGTGGTCTCCAACGTGCGAAGATGAACCCGAAGCGCGAGGAACAAAGTGCGTTTTTAAGCTCTGTGAGTATTTGAATTCCTTATAACTTGTGGGGCCGCTCGCGCGAAGAAAGTGGGGGGGGGGTGTCACTTCTCTCGCGCCTTTTTCTCTTCCTTCCCCGGCGTTGCCTTCCTCAAACCAGGAACGATACCTCCTCCTCAGAACACCATACGCACTCCGCGAGCACCAGTTGCACCGTCCACACGAAGCCCGCCTCCTGAAGACAACCTCAGAAAAACAGGACACAACACCTTGCTCTCACCGAGGACTGCAGTTGTTTACGAGCAACGGTCAAAATCCGCAAGAACAGCTCGCCACTGTGTTATACCGCTCCGCCAAGCAGGTTAATTCCAGGCGCTTGCCAGGGTTCCGAAATCACACGTACGTCACGCTAACAAACCATCACAAAAACGGCCTACAACTAAGCCAAAACAGTGCTACCACGCTTCGCAGCGTATAACGCTACCAGCACAGACACACAGCAATACAAAACTTTCTGTCTTTTACACAAATTTATTAGCCTTGTGAAAACAAGGCCTCAAAAAATTGGGTAGAAACTCGGAATTGTTTCTCTCCACGGAAATCTTTAGTAAAAGGCGAAAGATTTATGCGTTTTGAAGAGAAACCAGAGTATGGCGTCAGAGCCTCTCACACAGTGCCCGGCTAACTGGAAGGCCCAATGCACCAACGGTAACTATTTACCCGCAAACAACGAGCGAGTTCTGCAATTATTTCACACAATTCTGTGAAAATATCCTGATTTCGAATGGGGGCGGGAGTCAAAAGAAATAGAAGGCTAGAGCCTTTTGAAAGTAGGCAAGATCCCGAATGCAATGCATTCTGGGTATGTAAATGAAGCTGAGTCACCAACCTCGCCCTTCGGCAAATGCCTGCCTTTATTAGTTTTCCTGCTCGGTCTAGAGCCACCACCAGGGGGCGGAGCAGAAACCAGATAGGAATATAGTCGCCGAGTCCAACCAGAAAGTCTGTTTTATTTTGTTTTGTTTTTATTAAGGGACGACATTTATTCCTTTTCCAAATGTTACAGTAACACCAGGGGGAAGAAAATGGTTTTTAGGGAAAAGAAAAGTGCAAATCTGGGGTTTGGCTGTTAAAAGTTATTTACAACAATGTGCGCGGAGGGAAGAAAAGAAGTTGTTTCACATCACAGGCTTCCCCACAACCCCAAAGCTTAATACTTGCTTACAAGTCAAAAAAAAGACACAGTTGATTCACAAGCTGGAGGTTGGAACTTGAGTAAGACATTTAGAAAAACCTAGACAAGGGCAGTGTCCTCCCCCACCCAGGTGCCGCTGTAGGCACAGCACAAGAGACTACAAACAGCAGGGGAAGGTGGACACTCAGAGTTTGGGAGTGTAGTCACCCCCACCTCTGGGTCAGGGATTTGGGGAGTAAACATAACCTACTTGGAGAAGAATTGGGGAAGACAACCAGCAAACTGCCTTCTGCATGGCTGCGGACAGGGAAGGAGGTAGGGCCAGGGGCAGGAGAATTTCACATCACTAACCTAACTTGGGAAACTGCAAGGGACCATCTTCAACTGGCCTTAAGAGCAAGAGCAGATGGATGATGGTGTTGCCGAAATATCAGCTTGCCTGTGCACCAATGCCGAACAGAAATACGGAGACAGATTTTGGAGGAAGAGAGAGATGGCTTTATTTTTCTGCCAGGCAGAAAGGAAGACACAGCAGGCTAGCGCCTGAAGAACTGTGCCCCCACCTCCTTCGGGAATCGGAAAAGATTTTATATGTGGGGCTCGCAGTCTGGCATATATGATAAGGATCAAAATAGTGAAGGTCTTGCATTCTTCTTCCTGCGTTATTTCAAAACAGTCATTGCTGGAGTCAGGCCGCCCTGTAACTGGGTCGGTGTGTCTCGGGGCTGTTGGCCTGCGCGACCTTCTTTCTGAAATGCAAATGCTACAGGGGGTGATTTGCTACAAGTCAGCGCAGGATGTAATTCACATAGTGTTAAAGAGTCATAGGTTCCGGGATGTCCCTGGTGGCACAGTGGTTAAGAATCCACCTGCCAATGCAGGGGACACGGGTTCGAGCCCTGGCCCGGGAAGATGCCACATGCCAAGGGGCAACTCGGCCTGTGTACCAGAACTACT